ACGAATTATATATGCGCATTCGCGAGCGTGATTATATAGAGAACAGATATGTATATTCTTTATGTATATGCTGTTTAATATATACATGCGCCTGTGAGAACGTAAATTATTACACATGTATACACATAATGTATTATACATATGCACTGACTCAGTTGAACATCCGGACGGTATGAATAAATACCACTGTGATTTACTTCTGCGTCAAATGGCGATACATTGTCTGTTATGATTTTGGAAAGAAAATCCATATTTAATATTTGCGTTCTATCATAATTTATATAGTTTTTGTATAACATTATTGCAGCTCGCACTGCTTATCAATTATATAAGCTATATAGCGCATAAATATCCGATCTTTATTATTATTTTTTTATAATTTTTCGAGATTATTATTATTATTATTATCGCAGAAGTAAACACAGGCGTGATTTGTTTACACCCTGTTATCGTATTTATAAATGTATTCAGATAAGTTACATAAGAAATTATATATATGTGCAAGCAATCTTGTTAGATCTTACGGCATGCGAATTTACATTTATTATTCTATAGTTATATAGTTTTTTTGCCGAAATTTATTGTATATGATAATTTTTTAGTTTCATATTTTATTTTAATGTTGATATATGTGCAGGATATGTGGCAATATTAATGTGTAAGTGACAATGAAAAGCAATTCTGTTTTCTGAAATCTCGGAAAGATCTGATTACGAATCATAGTATACTGTACGCTACTTATCGAAGAAAATTCACAATTTACACTGAAGTGCAAATAAAATAGTTTATACAAACATGTATAAATACTATGACGAACGGTAATAAAAATATTTTTTCAATACTCGACACTTCCTTGACACTTGAAAGAAATGATAAGTATAAGTAAGATTTCCGTTTTATTGATATACACAAGCATAAGTTACCAAAAAGTAAATGGATATTTTATAATCTCATACAAAACATATCGAAATATTTACATTAGCTTTATTTCTCTATTAAAAAAGATCCTTTTATGTACAAAAAAATATCATTTAACATAATATTCAATATATAAATTATTTTTTTATTGTTACAATTAGTACAAGTAATAGAAAAATCCTTTTATCATTTTATGACTTTGGTAATCGATAGAAACTACCGGAAAGTAACAGTTGGTGTTCCCTGACTTTTCTGTCCAGAAACTGCCTCAATTCTGGTAAGCCGCATTCGACAGCGCCCGGTCCTTGCGACGCGAACATTTTCAACATCTGATGAATCCTTTCTATTGGCAATGAATCTAGATTCGTCAACATTCCAACGATATACGACCAGAACACTTGCAATTCCTCCTCTCTCTGATCGCTGGCTGAAGCCATTGCACTCTCAGTCTCCTCCTCGACAATATCCGTCGATAAACGGTTCTTCGACGTACTTTCCTCTTGCAGAACGAACACATCGTTAGAAATCTCTTTCAGAAGACCTTGCGACACCCAAAATGCTATTTTGCGTCGAAGAACAGTCGCAGGTGCATGCATCACCTCCGCCAGATCTTGCAAAGTCCACTCATCTGCAAAATAAACTTAATTTAAGAACAACTGTTTCACCATATATTTGTGTTTCGATTTGACAAATAATCAACGTGTTCTTACTTTTATCCTGAAAGTGCAAGATAATCGTTGCATGCACCGGCGTGACATTTATATCTAGCTTTCTGTCCTTCAATTCGATTTCCAGGCTTACGTTTCCTAAGTGAGGCTTCCAGCAGAGCGTCCTGTTTCCTTTCAAGGCCTCGAACGCCTTCACATATTTGTTCAGTTGATTCTGCACGATGCTTGGCAGTTTCAATTTCCAGTCTTCCTTGAACGGCGGCCAGAACTGCGCCGATAGTATGAGCGCTTCCCTCTGCAAATTGTAACTGGTGTCGGAGTGGATATTACCATCTATCCTTTTCGAGTCATAAACATCCTTCAGCATAACTTCGCAGTAATGCAATTGATTCTCGCCGAATCGTCTCTTCAACAACTCTAAGTGACGTATCTCGCGTTCGGTATGATAGTTGAGTTGTGAGAGCAGTCTATCCGCTAGCAACGTGCGATACTCGTTGACGAATAAGTCCTGGCTGCCGTAAACGTTCACTAGCGTAGAAATGATATCGGATACTTTACGCTGTGTCGATTTAGCTAGAAAGATAAATTTTCATTGAGAAAAAGTTTATTATAAAAATATCTTATTTCAATGAGCATATAAATGTTGAAACTGCTTTTTGTGATTCAATTTCGACTCAAGTCTTAATTTGGAGTAATATATACTAGTATTTTAAATCTAACTCCTCAGAAATAGGATATATCATAATGATAAATGCAGTTTAAAATAGCGCGAATTTTTTCGCCAAAGCCAATTATACAGTATGCGCCAAAAAAAATGTGACTCTCTTTTAATCACTATTATGCTTGTTGAGTGTGACATAGTAACGCAGTGATTGCAATTAAAGGAAATCATATCGAATAAATATTTGGCAGGGCAAAATATTTGTGTTATCAAATTTGCCCCCGTCCACTCATTTTATTTAACTAAATCGACAACTGAAGTGTTAGTTGTGAGTCGCATTTTTTTTTGGCGCATACTGTACAAGGAAATTGCGCAGTTTACCGGGATCAGCATCGACTGGATCCGGCATCCATTTTTCCCAATCTTCAGTCTCGTCGTCCGCCGAACCATCGTCCAGCTGCAAGCACTCGCCTTTCACCAATTCGTCGGCTAACTCACTGGGTGAATCATCAAGCAAACTATTAACGACGGAACGTACGGTGTCTTCTCTGCTCCTCAAGTAGCATCTAAAGGATAAATTGGACTTGACAAACAACTGTATTTTTTTTAACATTTTATATTAATTCACATTACGAATTGCAACTTTGATGCGACAAAACAAGGAATCTCACTTGATAGGTTCCGTTACAGCTTCTAGAAGAACCCCGGTTGGATCGAGATGCTTGAGCGCTTTGATCGCAGCAATATAAGCGGTCACTATATCTGGAGTGTTCACACCAGCATGCAAGAGCCGCGTTTTGATCGCTTCCTGCAGATTCTTAACCAGAACTTTCCGTTTATCGGTTCTTTCTAAACAAATTCGGAGATCATCCACTGCAGGTTGTGACTCGGGATATTCTAGAGAAAAATGTAGCATGTAATTGTATAAGTTGCAAATAAATAAATCTTTATAGATATATATAAATTAACTTTATATTATATAGATATATTAATTAAAATTGTAAATATTATTATATTAAAGAGATGATCGATTCTTATGTTAGTATACGTTTCATATAGAAAATGAGATAGTTTCTGTTTGAACTTGTTTATAGCGTTGCGAACTTCGTCGCTAAGTGTTACAGTTTTCGAGAAACCACCGGAATAAACTCTTATCAACCAATTCATGACAACAGTTTCGAGCCACTAAACAATAAAATGTAATAATGTGTCATTATTATACAATTATGTAATATTATATATATATAAGAGAGAGCTAACATACATTTTCTAAAGAGATCAACTGCGACACATCAAACGTTTTATCACACGTTTGAATTACATGATTCTTGATACGAATATGAATTAGCGATGTGAGTACATTTCCCACTAGCCTCTCCAATAACTCCAACTCGATTAATTTTCTATTTGTTTCGTGAAACATATAAACTATCATCTGGCATCGACAATTCTCCATTTCCTGGCCACATCCTGTACACTGGATCTCGCTGATTGATATATCTGGTTTAAAGCATATATTCTTATCATATTTCCCATATTTTTCATGAAACAAATCACAAGTACAACACAAATAATAAAGATAAATATTTGTGTAATTTACCTTGTGACGAATTATCTGAATTGCAAAATACATTGAACGCGATTTTATAAAAATGTTCTATGATGCATTCATGGCACAGAGGTAGTTGGCTCAATAACGTCGCTCTCACGATGAGCTTGAATTGTGCTTCTATATCTATACTGCCCTCGATGTTTGACGTTTCGCCTTTGTTCTGTCTTAAGAATTCTAGCTTTTTTAGAATTGGTAGAAATTCTGTGAGACTGGCGTATAGACCATCAACAGCAGATTTGAACAATTCAAAACCCCGTTGGCTATCCTCCGTGTACTCAAACTTCTCCCAGAATGTTGGCGCCACGTGACAACGGATGTATTGTTCTATGTTATGAATCACAACTTCTATGATATATTCCGTTGTCTTGACGAATTGTATAATCTCCACTAAATTCGCAAATTCCTCCTCTGTACACTCATCTTGAATCTAAAAAAAAAAACAGATTATCAAGCACTCTTACAGTAGAATTTAAAAAAAATTTGTTAAAGGATTGAGTCATGTGTTTCTGTGATAATGAAAATCATATATGTCACATATACCGTTTTTTTTTTAATTATTATAAGCTTTTTAATCTAAAAATAACACATAATTTTAAAAATAACAGATGTCAGTTTGAACTTTAAACAGAGCTAAATTTTTAAACATGATATCCAAATTATCCGAAATAATTGTCATCTCAAGTCTAACAATAAAGTGTTTAATTATTCAGGTAATCAAAATCTTATACCTAAAGAGTGTCAATTTAACTTAAAAATCCATGAATTTTCAGAACTACGAAAAGAGAAAAGATTGCAAAATACATTTTATCAATATTTATTAAAATTATATTAAATTTTTGTACATCTATTAGTCAAATATTTAAAAATTCAGATCTTATTTACAATTCTGACATTGAACATCGCACTTATTTTGAGGTTATGATTTCATAATCTCATATTAACGTTGATATCGTAAAAGATATTCCATTGTCGAAAAAATAAATTTGTAATTTTAGTGTACAACATACATTGCGCTTACCTTTCCTTTAATTATTGGAAATACACGTTCTAATTGATCGAAGAAATTGTTTGACTTCTCTTCTACCTTCGCCATGTTTACTAACACATGCAAGCAACGTTGCCTAGTTTAGGTTATGTTGTAACCGGGTTTATGTTAGGTTATGGTTTACGATTAAAGAAAGTAAACTGAAAAGAGAAGTAAACAGATTTTTTGGAGCTTTTTTATATATTAGAGTGACTTCGATCAAACTCGATTAATTTGTCAAATAATTTCATCAACGTGGATAAAATTTTAAATTCTTTTCGTTGCATGTAACACTGAGAAATTAAATCAGAAGCATATTTTAATAATCTGAAGTTTTACTGGAAGCAATTTTGCAAGTTATGTTAATTGCAAATTAAGTTAATTAAAGTCGATCGACGTCGCCATCAGAGAGATGCAGATACAGATATTGAAAATACTGTCTTTATTTTCAAAATGTCTTTATTTTCAGAATTGCAGTGTAAGCATGAATAGATTTTCATTCAAGTATAGGAACGTGATTCTGGGTGTGACTGCGACCGCATTTGGATATTATGCAATCCTTATGCCACACACTGTCTTCCTTAAACAGTACAAATATATGGTGGCCACATACCAGTGAGTAATGCAAGGTTTTAGGATTTCCATTCTTTATTCCAAGTCTGAGACTTAATGTCCTTTTTTTCTATAAACGCATAGAATGGAAAAAGAGGTGCCATTAAACTCTAAAGTCCAGCAGATAATCCAGAAGGTAATGAGCGACTTGAAACTGTCCGATGACATTAAGGATGCTATAAAGCCTTTCAGCATATTTGGTTTTGATTTGCTTCACGCTGGCACTTTCAACGCTAAATACGGCGCAATACTGGGAATTCCCATTAATTTCACCAATACTGCAGAGCAGCTTCGCAAGAACTTGCAGATCAAGGAGGAGCCAGTAGACTGGATGCGGCAAGACGCGAAGGCTTTTCTGGAAGCAGTAACGTTCTCCGAGGATGCACAAAAATTTGCGATAGCGCGTGAAATCCTGCGAATTCAGGCAGAGGAGCCGTGCTTTAATTCACTCGTTCTGGCTTTGATTATAGGGACTCTGTGGACACTTTACAACGTTATATTGTACAGATATAAACTACGCAAAGGCAATGTGATAGCATTGATAGTACAACGTACGCTTTACACGACTTTTACTTTATTTGGTGCAATATTTTGGTTCGGTGTAAAGGACTATCGAAGTTATCAGCTCGATAGAAAGAATGACGAAGCCTTGTGCCATTTAGGAACCGAATATATCAAGGGAGGACAGGAATTTTACGAAAAAACGTTAAGCAGAAACAGAGCTTTGAGGACTCTCCTTGGAACAGAAGGGAAAAGTACATATACCGTTCACGGAAATGAAGAGAATTTTTTTAGACTGAAGCATATGCCAATCTCCAACAGGAAAGATTTTTTCGATTCGCATCTACGAAACTTGGAAGGTATGAAATAAATTGATTTCTTTATACCTACTTAAAATTTTAAGTATCTTTTTTTACATTGACCATCCAAGATCCTTGAATGATCAAAATTCTAATGATATCCAGTACGTTTTGTAATTTCAAAATTATCTTTTTATTTCCGTAATTAACTGCAGGTTAACTATTTCATACGCGCAAAAATGAATGGAACGTTAAGTACTTAGTGTGATCGGAAATTTATGTACAAACAAAATTAATGTAAATACATTTATGACGTTATTGTGATTGTTGGTGATAAGATGCGATATTCGTAATAAACTATTTGAAAAACAGTTCATTTGGTATATATATTATTAATTACAATATATATATGTATGTATATATGCATATTAGTCCTTAGACTACCTATTGTGCTTACGAGACATTGCTATTTCCTTAACGTAAAAAGCATTCATCATAGATGGTACATATTCCCAATGCATATTTCAGCACATGATTATCTTTTATAGAAGTTACAGGTAAGAGGACACATTTTATACATTATCTATATTTCTATATTATATAAGCCTTATCACATACCATAACATTTTGTTAAATTAATATTTAAAAAAAACTGCAAATATTACATATTGTAGCTAATTTGTACAAATTCTTATCTCCTTTCATATATATATATATATATATATATAACCGAAGGTAAAGCTCTCGCGCGAGCGGCCTGTAGAAACATATAATACTCGGGCAGAGAAACGCGTCAATTGCCTACAGAATTCTTCTATACAGAAAAATTGTACATCTCGGACTACGAAAGACCAAGTGAGCCAAACTGAAAAGAGAATCGTAACGTGAATATAAGGTGTATATACTGTGCTAGATAGAGAGATCAGTTCGTGCTACCACTTACCAGAGTTAGCTTATCTTCCTCCTTCTTAAGTATCTTCGTGGTCTGTTCTTGGTCGAACTTGACGACGGCGGCGATTACTCTGGCCAGTACCATCGTCTCTCTTCCCATCATGTATTCGAACAGAATGTTTCTAAGATACTCAATTTCTGTCGAATCTTCCAATGTGTCGTGTCGCAAGCTGACCAGTTTCCGGAGTTCCGCGAGTTCTCGCCTCTGAGACGTCAAAGTCTGTTGCAAGGTGTGAATCGAACCGGTACTCGTATGTATCGCTGCCATCGCCACGCGAGAAGTACTTTCCAATTCCTGTATGAAATTTCACTTTACTCAGAACTCTCAATTTTAAACAACCGTGCTATGTAAAATAAGCATGTATAGAAAAAAAGGCATAGTGAGTGTAGGCTTTAAATAAAAAGAAATAAAGCTTTACCTCGGAAGCTGCATCAGTTTGTGCATCAGGCTGAAAATAATGCGGAATACGTGAACGCAAATTAAAAAATTAAATTTAAAAAAAAATAAATCATGCATGAATAAATAGTCATACATTTAAAAATTTATATCTAAATAAATAAATGTAAAATATACATATAGCGTTAAATTAAATTATACTTTCAAATTATGCAAACTTACCTTTCTTTCGTTCTGCCACTCTTTTGTTAGCTCATTCAATTCGTCCTCGTGTTTAACTTGCAGATTGTCAATTTTCTGCTGCACTATAGCCTTCCATTTTTTTTCCAATTCTTTTATTTCATCAGTGTGTTCCTTCTTAATCTGCGCGATGGTTTCTACCAAGCGATCAATATCTTTTCCCTTCTCTACTACCACATCTTTTTTCTCTAGAACAAGGCTCTCGAGTTGCTCAGACTTCTCTGTCAACTCTATTTGACAATCTTTCAATTGTTCCTTGTATTGTTGCACAAGATTCGACTCGTAGTTGTGTTGGCGATCTACGTAAAGATTAAATATCGGTTATATATTGGAATGTTTCTCAAAATTTTTTTTTGTTTCATTACATATAAAAAAAATATATATAATTTTTTTAAATATAAAATAGTATCTTACCGAAACGTTTCTCCAACGCGGCTTGAAGTTCTTCTTCTTTGTCATGCAACTGAGCTTGAAACTCTTTCACCAGCTGCTTCAGCCTCATGCCTTGTTCCTCCTCGCTGGTCTTCAACTGTTCCCTCAATTGATTGGTTTGCGACCTTAGTTCATTATTTGCAAGTTGCATCTGCGTCTCTTTCGCTTGGAATGTAATCAATGCTTCATCAAGCTGGGCCTCTAATCTCTTATTTTCCTCGCGCAACTTGTCGCTGATGAGTTGGCCCTTCGCGTCTTTGTCCTTATGGACAGTTTCCAATTCTTTCCGTAACATATCGTTCGTCCGAATGAGAGAATTAATTTCCGACTGTAAACCAGTGATCTTTTCTTCCGCTAACGCGAGCGAATTTTTCAGCGTGTCCGCACCCTTCCTCCTTTCGTCGATTTCGAGCGAAAACCGTTTTAAATTCCCAATCTCTTGTGACATGTTGGATATTTTATCTTCCAATAATTTTATCTCCGCGTCTTTCGCCGTCAATGTATCTTTCAAGGCGCCCACCTCCGGCGACGAATTCTTCGCGGACTGCAAAGCTTCAATCTCCGACTGCAGTCTACCATTTTCCATACGTAGGGCCTCTAAACTAGATATCTTAGACTGTAAATTATTTACACGAGTTTGCAACTGCGTGCTGCTAGATTTTACTCTTTCCAACTCGGCAATTCTGTCCTTCAGAGTTTTTTGCTCGGCAATCAACACGTTGTTCTCCGAACGTATTGCCTCTGCATTAGAATTCTTTTGGATTAAATCATTAAGTTCTGAATTCAGCTCTTTATTCTTTTCTTCCACGTCTTTAATTCTCTGAACTTCATCCCTTATTGTCCTTAATTTTGCACAAAGTCGCAAGTTCTCTTCCTTCTTGCTGTTACAGTTTGTCATAGCTGTACCTAACTCGAAAATTTTATCCTTCAACTCGGCATCCCTCTCGTCAAGTTTTCCTTTGATTTCTTGCGATTCTTTTTCGCTCATCACTAATCTCTCATTTAATGAATTCAATTCCGCATCTTTACGTTCTAATTGCGAGCTAACGTTACTTAATTCGTTGCTTAAACGTTCTACCTTCTCGCTTTGACTGTTGAGCTGAGACTTATACGATTCCACGTAATTCTTCACTGTTCTCCGCAATTCTTCAATCTCCTTCTCATAATCTGCGATTTTCTGCTTCAGAGCCTCGTCGTTTTCGCAAAGCTTCTGATTGTGACTCAAGAGATCGTTTTGTTTGTCTTTCAGATCTTTGTTCTCCAAGGTGATCGTCATAAGTTGAGAATTTTCTAATTTCAGCGACTCTATTTGTTTCTCGAAAGTCTTCAACATGTTGGACAATTCTGCCTGCCGAGTCTTTGATTGGTCAAGCTCGGCTTTTACCTCCTCGATCGTTTTATTTTGTCGCTCTTTAATAGTTTTTATCTTCTTCAATTGTACGAGTTTCACGTTTACCGTTTCCTGCAATGCTTTGTTATTCTCCATTAATTCGGTAGTTTCTTTCGCATGATTCTCCCTCGTCGCTTGATACTCAGCCTCCAAGTTTAGGTACTTCCTCACGTGTTCCTCAATTGTCTGTATATGACTGTCGCATGTGGATTTTAAATAGGCGACATGCTCCTCTTCGCTTCCTAGTTTCTCATCGCGAGTTTTTATCTCACCCTCTTTTTCAGCTAGATCTTGCTTCAAGCGAGCTATTTCTAATCTCGAAGCGTACAGCTCTTTTCGCAACGTATCTTGATTGCTGTTTTCCGATTTGAACGAATTAATGACTTCGGTCGCCTCACGTAACTTCGCGTTCAATTCATCTACCTTTTTAAAGGCATGACTGACTTGCACATGTTTTTCCCTTAAATCATCAATCTCGCCAGACAATGCATGATTTACAGATTCGAGATTCTCTAATGTCCTCAGCCGTTCTCGTAGAACCTTAACATCCTGTTGTGACTGCGTTAATTTGTGCGATGCCGCTTCCAGATCGTGAATTTTAAAATTGAGATTATCGATCTCGGCTATTAATTTGTTATTCGTCGTATTAAGTTCGTCGTATTGGTTACTCTTCAGCGTCATTTCTTTCAGTCGTTCGTTACTCTTCCTCAATTCCGCTTCTAGTGCGGATTTGTGATTCGCAACTTGCGCAAATTCTGATTGCAAGTCTGTCTCTTTGAGTATAAGCTGTTCTTGATCCTTTATCTTCGAACGCAATTTATCTATTTCGGACCTCAGTGTTATATTTTCTTTTTCGAGCTTTGTAAAAGATGCGGCAAGAGTCGCGCTCATGTCCAATACTTTGGCCTTTTGATTTAAGAATTCTTCTGCAACGACATTTTTTACGTCCATGCAATCCTGCTTTAAACGACGCATACAATCGTTATAATAAATAAGACGATTTATAAAATCGCTTCTCTCTTTTTTCAGTAAATTTATAACCGAACTGTCTGCCTGGACCTTGTTTTTAAAGTCATCGATCGTAGATTTGCAAAGCTCGAACTCACTTTGTATCGCGCTTAATTCGATTTTTTTATTCTCCAATTCTTCTTGCAGCCCTGAAAGCTTTTCCAATTTATCATTCAGCGATATGATTTCTGCTTTCTGTTCGGTCAATTTATTCTTAGCTTCTTCGAGCATGTCTGTGTATTGTTGCACTTTTTTATTATAATTTTCGCACACCTGATCTTTATCGATCAACGCGTTTCTCATATTCTCCAATTCTTTGTCAACGCTTTGTACTGTCGCTTGAAGTTTCTCAATCGTCGAGTCAGCGTCTTTCTGTCTTTCTTCCACGATAATCCTGTGTGCTTGGTACTCCTCCCTCAGATCTGAATATGTGGTCTTCCAAGCAAGCAATTCACTTCGTATAGATTCTTTTTCGTATTTATATTCTATATTTTGTTTCTCCAATTTATCCTGCAGTTCTTGTAACTCGATTTCTTTTTCCTTTAAACGTACCGTTAATTCGTCTAGCTTATTCTCGTTGTCTGTTTTAATCTTTTCACTATGATCGACTTCCTCATGATGTTTTATTCCCACCTGTTCGATTTTTTCTTTCGATGTTATCGCATTTTTATCCGCTATACTCGAATCAGTATGCAGGGATTTCAGTTCACTCAATTCGGCCTTATATCTCGCTACTGCCTCGTTTAAACTCTCTTTATCTTCTGTTATGTGTTTCAGATCGATTCGCAGCTGCTTGATTTGTTCCTCTTTCTCCTCGAGTTCTCTGTGCACGGACAGTTTATTCTCAGCTAACGAAATCGCCGATTCCTCCTCGCGTTTGTGCAAAGTATCTATTTGCTCAGTCAGTTTTTCAATCTCAATACGCGCCGCACTCAGTTCACCCTCGGTGACGT